TTGGAGCTTTCGAGAGTGGTATCCTGAGCGAAGGTCAGCTTCAGGTACCTGGGGGTCTGCTTTGAACTTGATGCAGATAGCCTTTTAAAGCGTATTGAATAGACTTCCGTTGAGAGGTTGCCTATGCTTAGGCGATGCCTCGAGCCCTCCTAGAGCCTTCATGATCGGAGCTTTCGCGTGCTTACACTTCTTTTTAGAAAGAAAAACCATGAGAGTACCGCCTCAAGTTATATGATGGCGTTGAAGGCTTCTTGAAGCCTAACTTCTTTTTTAGCGGCAATCCTCAAGGTCAGGCACTACTTCGAGACTGGAGACAATACAGTTGACTCTTTGAGGCCTAACTTCTTGTCGATGGATGCCTCTAGGTCGAGTGCCACCTCGGGATCTGTACCGAGGCCGTTGGCCTCCCGAGGCTTTACTCTGGATAGGTAAATCGTTGTTGTTTCCACATATATGTGGGGTAGCTTTTGCTTTTTTGGGAGATCTAATTATTTTGGATAACTATCCCTCCGTTTTGGCATCGGGTCCTTCATCTCTTCAGGAACAAAAAGCGTTGGCGCACGTCCTTGCTTTAGTCTGTCGATTCTATCATAGCCATGGCAGTTACTTCGGGGCTGACCCTGCAGGGAGGGGAGAGTTCCACTCCCAGCGTTCAGGATCCACATGAGTTCTCTCTGAAGATTGAATCTTTGATAAGAGAGGAACATCTTGAGATGGTGAGGAGATACTATGGATGGAGCGAGGGGATAACGCTGCAGGTGCTTTCCTTGGATGAGAGTATTACGGACTCTGTTGACAGACTCTTGAACGTATACCTATATCCTTTCGCATTTGGCCCCCTTGATAGGGTCGTCTTGATATACATCCATCATTTTGGAGAGTGGTTCTGATGATGAGATTCTTTGCGGAGAAAGATGGGCATGAATTCACGCTCAGCTACCTCATCAGGCAGTACCAACCCTTTCATCACCGAGGCCTATTAACCTTGCGATGTCGTTCGTCCACGCCCTTTGTTGTCGATGATGAAGAAGATGGGGATCAATAGTGGGTCAGTCGACCCGGGTCCGAACGGCTGATATTATCCCCGTGGAGCTCATGCCATTTCCCGAGGGATTGAATTATGCGCGTGAGTGGAATGCCTCATGCTTCCTTAGATTTTCTGATAGTGAAAACCTGTTGAGTAATTGTGTCTCCTTCCTTTTTGCAGCAACTTCATGGATGTCAGGCAAAGTTGTCGATCTGCCTGGCTAGGTCCGGAAGTTGGAGACCCATTCGACTTGCGATGAGCGTAGGTGGCGAGCTGTGTCCCGTGATAGATGGGAAGTGAAATACCATGGTATGCGTGTATGGTACTCCTGCCTTTGTCTTCATATATTTGAAATGACATTTTCCTCTTTATTTTGTATCAGCTTTGCCGTTGTAGGTATTGGGCGTTTCCTTGAGGCGAGGTTGTGCCCCTCCGGAGAGGGGAAGGAGTCGCCGGCCTCCGAGCTGAGGGACAATGGCGGTAAATGGGATTTGCACCCGCAGTGTGATGGAGCTTTTAATGGGGCTCAATGGGCTCATGTCTTCGAGGAGAGAACATTACCCGAGCATGTTGTTCCTGGAATGTCTAATTCTAGAACGGTGGTTCCTTCGAGTGAATATACTTTGCCAGAGGTTCGCTCTTCTAGGGTCGAAGGGGAAGGACCAACAAAAGTGTGCTCCGTCTTCGAGGAAGTCCGCCACCTTAATTTCATGGTGAGTTTCGGCGCAGTCTTTCTGTATTTCGGGTCCTCCTTTCTTTATCGAGTTCTTCTTCTGCAAGCCTTAGATAGGCTCATGTCTGAGCTGCTCCATCATAGGTTTGGGCTTCAGAAAGCTCTGGACGAGGGTGAGTCCCTTAGGCTCCTCAACAAGGAGAAGGAGGTTGAGTTGATGCACTGGCTATACGAGGCGTATCGGAGCTCGAATTACGAGAGCCATTTGATGGAGCAGATAACCTTTCATACTACGCGCTTTAGCTGCAGAAAAAGACGGAGGCTTTGGAGTACCTTAAGGGCGAAGCCGATCAAGTGAGGAATGCTTATAGTGAACTGAGGGCTCAGGTGCAGGCTCAAGCTTTAGAGGAGAGGGGCACCTTGGCCAAGGTTCCTGCCTTCGAGGCCCAACTCCGCTTGGCTCGTGACAACGCTACAGTTCAGGTGAATATAATCAGGAAGCTCGAGTCCGATCTCTTATAGGTTAGGGCTGAGATAATCGATGCCCGGGCTGAAGCAGCATTAAGTCGAACCAAGGCTGATCATGAGATGGCGATTCATGTGAAGCACGATGCTGATGTCCAAGCCGAGTTGAAACGGGCCCTCGATCGTGAGAAGAGGATTGAGGAATATGTTCGTTGCAGATCCCGAAAAGACGTACTCGAAGAGATCGGCGCTAGGGGCTTCGTTCTCTCGAAGGAGTTGGATCGAGCAAGGGCGGACGAGCGCGATGCTCGGCCACTTCTTGCTGATGCCACGGAGAGTGAATCAGGGGTTGGTAGGCTATAGCCTTTTGTAGCGGAGCGTATATTTCATAGCTTATCCACTTTGTATTTGATATTTTCAGAGCATGTTTGTAGATGGAGAGCGCGTCTTTTGCGTATGTAAATAAGAGAAAACTTGAAGTGCGATTTTTTATGCGAGTAGCCATTAGGTCCTTTGTGCTTTGCCCAGCTATTTTAGGCCTAATCTCCGAGTCAGGCCTTTACTAGAGCTTACCTGACCTTAAATCTCCTGTGCCCGCATAGGCGGATTGATGATTGTTCTTGTCCCTTGCCCTTGGGCATTTGTGTTTCAACTATTTTAGGTCCAGTCTCCGATTCGCGTTGCGAGTCGAGCTTTAATTGACCCTCATGTTTTTTCATTCCTTCATGGGCGGATGACGATGGCTCTTGCGCTCTGGGTCGAAGCGACCTTTTAAGTGTGTGGCCCGGAGGCTTGTTTGGTTGGCGATAATAGCATTTTTGTTGTGCCCTTAGGCATTTGTAGTTAACTATTTTGGATTCCGTCTCCGATCCGGGTTACGACTCGATCTCATTTTAATCCTCAAGTTTTCAATTTTTCAAGCTGGCGACAGTGGCTCTTACGATATTTGTTCATTGAGACCTTTTAGTGTGCGGCCCGGAGGCTTGTTTGGCTGGCGACAATTGCTCTTACACTTTTGCCCGTGGGCTTTTTGAAGGCTTTGTTTTCATCTTGTTAAGATCTTTTCGAAATGATTTTTACTGACCCGTCGTCAGTTTCGGAAGAACCTCAATTTCAAGTCCTTAACGGTGATGTTCGAGCACCTCGGAAGGCTTTTAGCTCGTAGGCTGAGTAACTTAAAGCCTTTGTGATTTGGAGCTGACATGGTTAAAGCTCGTTTGCCTGTTGTGGGAAGCCTATTTTAACCTATTCTTTTCGAAGCATATTCGAAGTAATGTCCTTCCATTTTGTTAGCAACAGTTGGGCATCCCCGAGTCGCGTTAATTTGGCTGGAGCAGCCGTATTGACAATAGTCGTATGTGTTTGGGCGGAGGCATTTTTGATCCCGAGTGATAGCTTAGGTGTTTACACATAGGGTATGCCCTTTCGGGATTCTTACAAATGCGAAGTATAGCCTAAACTTCGGGATTGAGTTTTATGCCTGTAGTAAGGTCTTACAAAATTTTCATGCTTGTTAAGGTCTTACAGTTTTTGTTTCTATGTAGAATAGTTTTGGTTATACCGAGTCTGCCCGCTCGGGGTCTTACAGCCTTGGGTTTTCTTGTGTACAACGATTAGCGATAGTCTCCGAGTCATCGAGTTTGCTTAGGCTCGAAGGTCGTTATTTGTGAGCCTAGAGTTACCTTGTTGGGGCTTTATGAGCCCGGAGTTCCCACCCTGGGGTCGTGTGGGTGCCAAATAGTTGATGCAAAGTCTCCGAGTATTTTGGGACACATTTGGTGGAGGGATCCCAGCCGAGAGTATGCTGAAATTTCCTTTTTTGGAGTATTAGATGCTGAAAGATATTCTTTTATTGCTTGACATAAATACATATTGTTTCATTGTTGTGAGCTCGGACCGCACGGCCGTAGCTCCTTGGACCGTTTGGTCTGGTACACGATTCCCTATTGAAACTCAGTATACCATTCCCTGACCCTTCCGAGTGGACGGCGCCTTCAAAAAGGGGGTGTGTCCTTCATCGTTTGATTACAGAAGAAGGCCTGTGATCTTGTTGGATCCTCTTTAGGGGGTACGTTGCTACACTAAGAACCTTGCTGGCGAGACCCTCTTCGGGGCAGAAGTCCAGCCGAGGGGAAAGAGCGCGGCAGGTTCCATTAAGGCCTTGGGGTCTATGGGTAAATTTAGAACTTCCAAATGCCCTGACCGGGTATCTGCATATAGTTTAGTGAAAAATAACAAAGCAGAGAGAGAGTTTTTCTTTACCGCGGGATATGTAGGCAATGTTCCGGGGTTTGGTATGTTCCTACTGTTTTGGGGCGTGGCCTCTAGTATGGCCCTTCGCTGTGCTTAATCAGGTCTTGGCCGAATATGTAGTTTCCTTACCCTTTGACTCTTTTGAGAGTGGGGATATTGGTGTTTGTGATGCGTCATGTGATGCAGAATTTCCCCTTGTCACGTATTGGTTCCTGCCGACGGTTTTAATTCCATCTCTTGCATGGAATTTCACCCTTTTAGAGAAGTGGGGACGGCCCTGTCTTCAGGTGACGCGCCAGCGGTCGTCTGAATAAGGAGTTCGTGCCATGCGCCTCCCTTAATGATATGGGATTCGGCATTTTGGTCTGGGCCAGCAATGTTGTACTAAGAGAATGATCTTTCTCCTTGTCATAGCGATCGCCGTTCGGAACCTGTCAAAGATTCGAGAGGTGGTTGTGTTTTGACACAGTGGCCCGAGCCGCCCCATCATCCTTGGCCCGATAGTGCTGATCGAGCCACCTGCACTCCTGTGCACATGTCTTATTTAAAATGGATTGAGTGAGGAGGAAGGTTACCAGTACGTCATTGTGAGGTCAAGACGAGGCCTCGGTATCCTCTTTGTTGAATGTAAGGGCATCCCTTGGGGTATATCCCCAGATCTACCTTTCTCTGGTGACGAGAAATTGTGCTCTCCCTTTTACAAGTTCTTGGAAAGGATCGTTGATTTTCCATTGTCGTGGCAATGCGCTGCGGCCTGTTTTCTTTGTTCCTGCTGGCCGCCTGCCATACTGGGGACTGAACTTGAATTCGGTCACTCGTCAGTTCTCGGTAGTGATTTTTGTCGAGCGTCTTGTCATCTTTCCTTCGGAGCTGGTGGCTATCTTCGGCCCCGCGGCCGCACTTGCTATGTAGTTTACACGCCATACTGTTATCCCTTTGAGAGGAATTTGACCGAATTGGTCCGAGCCATTCGACATCCCTGGTTTTGCCTACGGCGAACACGATGTTTGGTATAGCGATGTGGAAATTGTACTCTGATGGGCGAGGCACCCTTGTCGGCCATGCGTCCTCATCGAATCTGGCTTTGGTAACGATTAATCAAGGATATTGTCCTCGGGACTTTTTCCGATCATTGCGAGGTAGATTGCATGTTGGGGCGTTCCTCTTGTCTGCGGTGCACGGGTGGTACCTCCTTCTGTTTGGCATTGGTTTCTTTGCTAGGAGCCTGTTTGGATAAGTTGAGCCCGAGGAGGCTCCTGGGTGGTCATCCACGACCCTGATTTGTGACTGATGCTGGGTACGGGCATCCGACCAGGTCTTGGCTAGGTATTTGATCAAGTTTTGTTTGAACTGTCCTGAAATCGCCGGGCCTGGTTTGTTTAGGCTTTGAGTGAAGGCCTGTATGGCCAAGTTATCTGAGACCGGGGGCAATCTCGTTCGTTCCATCAGGGAATAAGGTGTGAATTCCCATGGTGTTTCATTCCCCCTTTGTTCGGCCCTAGATGTGTCGGGCTCCCTTGTTGTTGCTTCGATGGCATCAGCGTGTCTCTTTATGGAGGAGCCTGCTGGTATGGTAAGTGAGTTTATGGGGTCGGGCACTAGGTTATGACACCACATTATGGTTTCTTTCGAGAGTGTTTCCCCGAACCTCTTCAACAATACGGGCTCGATCTGATCATATTTTGGGTCGTTGCCTTTTCCTGCGCACGTATAGGTGGTGATGTGTTCGTTGGGATCTGAGGTCCCATTGTACTTAGGTAGTTTTGGCATTTTGGACTTTATTGAAATGGGTTCCGGGGCCGTTTCCTTGAGGAACGACCGTTGCATGAATTTACACAAACCTTATTTGATCCTTTCGGAGAGATCCCCAAGCATCTTTGCTATGGCTACTTGCTCAGCGGGGGGAGCTACTTCCGGCGCTGCCGTGCTGGGAGTCTTCGGATGGCATTGTAACCGAGCAATGTCCAACTTTTGTGCCTGCAACATTTCAAAAGTAACATGAAGACTAACTTCATATGCTTCCCGAGTCGCCATGTTGTATGCTTCCGTCGGTGCGTGAGGTTTCATCGGCCCGCTGCGTGTCTTGCGAAACCGCATCCACTGGGATCGGTCCAGGTGCATTATCGAGGTTCTGCAGTGGTGTTCCAACGATTGAAATAGCCATACCGTTTGCTCCATGATTTTCGAGGTAGTCATTCTTAACCCCATTTGCCGAGCCACACATTTCGACCTAAAATCAATATATTTTGGACAAGAAAAAGCGTGAAAGATAACTTGTGTTTGTGGGATGAAGCTAGCAAGAAAATAATCACTATTATTTTTAGCCCCACGGCTGGCACCAAATTATTTACCATGAAAATGGTAACAATTATTAAATTTGTAAATGGGATTCTAAAAATACGTGATCTATTTTTATGCTAGTTGTTAGAGTAGTTGATGCTAAGAGTATGAAGTTTAATATAGAAATACGAGCTAAAGCGGGGCAGTAATCAAATCGAGAGGCTTGCATCCCGAGCCTCAGACTGGTCGATGAAGGACCTCGAGGTCGATATCTGGCTCGAGCTCGAGCTATCGGGGGCAGTCGGGAATGAGATAACAGTTGAGATATGATCAAGAAAGTCTCTTTATGGGCAATACCGAATAATGAATGAAGAACAAGTATAAAAGCTATAAACGTTAAGAGTGGCCTCGAGCTAATAAGAACGAGCATGTTAGATAGAAGAAAAAGAGAAAGATATTATTGATCTTGTGGAGAATAGTTGGAGCAACATCAACCCCTTACAAAGTAGTGTGGGTTCCCTTTATATAGGAGGGGAACCCGAATATAGTACAACATGCGTTAGTTATAAAGTACGGAGATGGGACGGCTAGACGTGATGCTTCGGCATAGGCCCTGGATAGGCCGACCCTATCAGACTTAGCCGTGTGCCTTGGGAACTTCCCCTTCTGCTCTAGCCTAAACCTTCGTCTTCTTTGAGTCGGGCCTCGACAAGCCCCAAGGAAAGGGACTCGGCCACGACTCCACGTCCTCGGGGCCTCGAGGTATTCTTCCAAAGTGGCTTGATAGCGAGAAATTAGGTCCTTTGATTTCACCGCATACACTATTCTTTCTATGTTCATAATCTATTCTTTGTAGGTACGAATATTTTTATATCTGTTGATGATTCTGCCTCTATTCATCCTATTCTGTGTGATGTTTACTTTATTAGTACATCCCCCCGATTTTACACTTTCCCTAAAACTAGTGTTTGAGACTTTTCCCTTTTCCTTATTGATTTTGATGAATCTTTCCTTTTCTGTGTTCGATTACTCTCTTTCCTTGTGTTTCCCTAATTTTTACTTTAGTATTTGCTTTAAATATTTTAATGATTTGGGTTTTGGTATTTTTTGTGTATTTGCCTTTAATATAATGAAAGATTTTTGTGTGTTTCCCTAATTTTTACTTTTAGTATTTTCCTTAAATATTCTGAATAATTTTGTGTGTTTCCCTAATTTACCGAATCCTTGATTTGTACCCTAAATTACCTCTAATTGATTCTGGAATATTTTCTTTCTATCTTATTTGCATCTGAATGATTTGTTTCCATGGGTATGTATTAATCTCTGTCTCTATATAACCCCCTCCTTATTCCCATTTAAGACAAGATTGGAATCATTAACATTCACTGAAAAACTAAAGTTACTACTCTGATTCTTGTTCTATATTCTGATTCCTGTCCAGCTGAAAGCCAAGGCCAGAAATTTTGGGTTTTGCTACTGTGGACTTTGCTCTTTCTTGTTTTCGCTTAACTTGTGAGTTATTGAACCATTTGCAATTCCATCCCTATGTATATGTAGCTCGCATATGCTTTCACTTCTAAAGTTCATAGCTTAATGCGTTTTCTGAGATGTTCTTGTATGCAATTCTGACTGTAGTAGTCAATGTTAGGCCTTTCTAATTTTTGAAACATGCCTGGACCTGAGTTAATTATGTTTTCTCTAAGTTTGCCTAGCCTAGGTGTTACTGATGGTTAAAACCTTTGCATTTTAGCCTCACTTTATGTGTTTGACTTTGGTAGCAATCATGTCACTTAAGCATGCCTTACTTTCATAATTCTTGCAATGACCTGCTTTCATCGTGCTTGAATTTTGCTGCCAGTCAATCTGATTCTCACTAACATCCACACTTAACATAATCTGAATCTTTTCTTTATCATGAGTATGTACATACCAAACCTACAAACTTGTTTTATTAATGTGTGATTGTTCATGCACTAGATATTGTTCTTTTGAATCTTTGCTTAATCTGCTTTCAAAACCTAAAGCCTGTCTGATTATTTTCTCTATGTTCTCAACTTGTACTCTTCAGTTCTATCCCTCAACAATTGTCCAGTCCCTCAATCACTTATGTTATTCCTACCTCTCTAGTGTGAACTCTGACACTTAGGACTTGGTCCTCACTCTATCCCTGAATCTCCTCTATTAACCTCCCTAGTGTGAGCACTACCCTGGGTTTTTGAAACCCTTGGGAACTCTGAAACATTTGGGTCCAAGTTTCTTAGCCATATTTGTCTTAATTTCTTAGTTATGTCCAACTTTATTTGTTGAATAAGACAACGGGCTTGTGTACATGGATGTATTTCTGATGGTTACTGGGTTTTAGCTATGGAAACTGTCTTCTGAGCTGTTGTGAGCTATGTTAAGGCCTGGATGGGCTAGGTGCATCTTTGGGCCGCTGTAGGCTCTCTATAGTTATTTATATTTGTAATTTATTCCTATTCATATGGGTCTGTAATAATTGTTGTAATAACATTTGGGATATTAGTAAAATTAGGAATTTGGGATTATTTAATATTGCATAAAACGGGTAGAAATCCTACCTATGGGTGTTAATTTGCTCGACTATATTCTCCCCCACGTGTTTGATAGATGACCTGCCTACAGGTGTTTTAATATATTTTTCCTCCACCTGCTTGTTAGAAATCATGTCTGTAAGAAATAAAAATGATCAATCCTCTAATTGCAGCATGTTCACATAGACACCATGCCTATAGGATTGCATTTATCCACAAATACATGTTCTTTGCAATGTTCACGTAGATATCACGCCTATAGGAGCATAATGAGATGCCATTTCTGTCATTCTACTATACTGTCACTCGCCTAGAAAACATGCCTATAAGGATAAAAATGTTAATCTTAATCAATATAATTGTCAATTACTAGAAATCTTGCCTATATGATGTTCTATTAATATTGCTAACCTTAAACCTTCAAACAACTGCATAATCACTCTATTGCGCACCTAATACGTCAAAGTACAGCGTTGTCTTTGTAATGCTGGTGTGACGACCCGTCCAGTCGTCTCATGAGTTACCGCTCCATTTCCCCTATTTCAGCTTCTTTACGCTTCGTTATCCGTGTTTTATGGGATCGAGATGATTAGTTCGAGTTCGGAGCGGATTTGGTAAGAAATGAGACACTTAGTCTCTTTTAAGAAGGCTTAAGTTGGAAAAGTCAACCGGATGTTGACTTATGTGTTAGAGGGTTCGGATGTTAGTTCCGATGGTTTGGTTAGTTTCGGGAGGTGATTTGTGACTTAAGAGAGTGATCGAAAGTGGTTTTGGAGGTACGGTGTAGAATTAGGCTTGAATTGGCGAAGTTAGTATTTTAGCGAATTCCGGTTGATAGGTGAGATTTTGATTTGGGGGTCAGAATGGTATTTCGAGAGTTTCTGTAGCTCCGTTATGTCATTTTGGAATTGTCTGCAAAATTTGAGGTCATTCGGACGTGGTTTGGTTGGGGTTTTGATCAAAAATGGAATTTGGAAGTTCTTGATATTCATAGGCTTGAATTCGATGTGATTTGATGATTTTGGTGTTAGTCGAGGTGTTTTGATGATTGGAACGAGGTTGAATAATGTTTAGGATGCGTTGGTGCTTTTGGTTGAGGTCCCGGGGGCCTTGGGTGTGTTTTGGGTGAGTTTTGAGCGAGTACGGACATCCCGGAACATAGAAAAATGGAGGGAGCAGCAGTTTTGGCACGGACCGCGCTCCTTCTCGCGCTGGGCGTGCTGGCCTAGTGCTGACCATGTCAAAGTGGTCGCGGCCTACTTCGGAAGCTCATATCTTTTGATCCACGAGGAATTTTGAGGTGACTCAAAAATGAAAGTTGTAGCCCTTCGTGTCTAATTTCCAGAAAGGTAGATATATAGAAGTTTGGACATCTGTAGCGAAAGTTATGGCTAATATACTAAATCCTATCCCTGCAGACCAAGACCTGCGCGGCCGCGGTCGTTTTTGTGCGGACCCCGCTGGTTTTGCGCAGACCGCGGGCATTTTTGTGCGGTCAGTGGTGTCGGAATCCGAGGGGTACTCTATAAATACGAGGTTTTGGGTTTTATTTGATATTTTGACCTAAAGAGCTCGGATTTTGGCAATTTTTCCAAGGTTTTTCAAGAAATTGGTCGTGGTAAGTGATTCTAACTCATATTTGGTTAGAGTACATGAATCTATCACTGAATTCATCATTTAATTCGTGATTTGAGATGGAATTTGGGAAGAAAATTGTGGAACCTTTCAAAAATGTAAAATAATGATTTGAAGGACCAAATGGTATCGGAATTGGATAATTTTGGTATGGTTAGACCCGTGAGGTTATGAGGATTTTGAAAATGTCAATTTTACCGGATTCCAAGATATGGGCCCAGGGCTCGGGTTTTGCTAATATCGAGATTATTGATATTTTTCGAATGTTTTCACTTGGGCTTTGTTCCCTTAGCATATTGTGAC